GGGTGGGAGGGGGGGGGGGGTGAGGAGGAGGAGGAGGACGACGATGATGAGGGTTACCATGAGGATGCGAACGATGATGCGGATGAAGATGGGGATTCGCCTGGTAATTCTGATGAATATCCTGCTGCTGTTGATGCTGATGCTGATGATGCTGGTGATCATGATGACGATGCTGCTGCTGACGATGATGATGCTGATGCTGATGATAAGGGTGATGATGATGACGATGATGATGATGATGATGCTGATGATGATGATGCTGATGATGATGATGATGCTGATGCTGACTATGATCATGATGATGACGATGCTGATGATGCTGCTGATGATGATGGTGTTGTTGTTGGCGGTGGTGATACTGATACTCGTGCTAATGCTGATGCTGCTTCAGATGGTGCTGATGATGCTGATTGTGTTGGTCTTTTGTTGCTGTTGGAGGTGCGAATGATGATGATGCTACGGTTGACGTTGATACTTTTGCTGCTGATGAGTCTGTTGCCGCTGACGGTGATGCTGGTGATGCTGATGATGAGGGTGATGATGCTGCTGATGCTGATGATGCTGACGATGACGACGGCGATGATGATGCTGATGATGATGATGTTGACGATGATGACGATGATGCTGATACTGATGCTGATGATGATAATGATGATGGTGATGCCGACGATGCTGAGGATGCTGATGATAATGTTGGCTGTGATGATGATGCTGATGACGCTGATGAGGAGGATGATGTTCATGATGATGGTGACGATGATGCTGATGCTGATGCTGATGCTGATGCTGATGCTATGATGTGGACGATGATGCAGATGTGGATGATGATGCTGATGCTGCTGATTATGATGCTGCTTGTGCGGATGACGATGCTGACGCTGATGTTGATGACGATGACGTTGATGATGACGTTGATGGTGATGTTCATGCTGATGTCGTTGCTGTTGGTGATGTTGGTGCTGCTGCTGATGCTGATGATTATGCTGCTGATGAGGATGATGATGATGAGGATGATGCTGTCAACGACTATGCTGCTGATGCTGATGCTGTTGCTGATCATGCTGATATCGATGCTGCTGATGCTGATGATGCTTCCGATGTTGACGTTGATGCTGTTGCTGCTTATGATGCTGCTGCTGATGATGCTGATTATGCTGCTGCTGATGACGATGCTGCAGTTGCTGACGATGATGATCATGTTGCTGTTGATGTTGCTGATGATGCCGATGCTGATGATGCTGATGATGCTGATGCTGCTGTTGCTGCTGCTCATGATGATGTTGTTGCTGATGAGGCTGCTGATGATGATGATGCTGCTGCTGATGATGATGGTGATGCTGCGGATGATGATGATGATGCTGATGATGCTGATGATGGTGATGCTGATCATGATGATGCTGATGATGAGTGTGATGATGCTGATTGTGATGCATAAGACGACGACGCTACTGCTGCTGCTGTTGATGCCGATGCTGATTATGCTGCTGCTGATGCTGATGAGGATGCTGATGATGACTATGATGATGATACTGCTGACGCTGATTCTACTAATTATGCTGATGCTGATGCTGATGATGATGATGCCGCTGCTGATGCTGATGGTGATGCTGATGTCGATGATGAGGATGCTGATGATGCTGGTGATGGTAAGTATGATGATGCTAATGTTGTTTATGGCGCTGCT